GTATCTGGTTCCGTCCTGAATCGTCGGCCAACCAAGTCTCATCACTGCTCGGAGCAATCCCACCAGCGTTGTCGCCATCAGCCACTGCGTCACCATCATCGTCATCCTCCACGTTCCATCATCAACTAGCAGTCAAGAAGCAGAGATGGAGAAAGAGGCAGCGGCAGCGGCAGATTTAGCGATCTCGCCAGTCTCGTCGTCCTGTTGAGTAGCACCGCTCTTGCCAGCTCGTTTGTCTTCAGCTAAAGTGTATGCAAAGCCCACGAATCAGGTTCTTGTGGCGTATTGTTAATTCAGCTAAGGAGCTCGGTTGGTTAGAGTTTGCTTGGTCAAAGTAATTACACGTAGGGGTGGCAGAACGGTTTTCGGTTAGCAGTTAACCGATCAGTTTCAACCGAACCGACCGGTTTTCGGCTAACCGAAAACCGTTACTTTTATTCGTCGGTCGGTTGCCGGATGAGAGGGGAAGAGGTTCGGCTAGCCGATTAACCGGGGTCGGAAACCGGCGGTTAACCGGCTAACCGACCTCTTCTCCAATACGGCCCCGCACCATCCCAAAACGACCCCCAAAAACCACTTCATTCCATACATCAACCGAATCAACACACAAAAAAAAAACTCAATCCCTAACAGAAACCACCATCCCCAAATAAGACGCAAACCCTAATTACCTCTCACTCCTCCTCCTCCTACCTCAGCCTCGCCTCCCTCTACACCTTCTACCTCCGCCGCTGCTTCTCCGCCGCCGGCCTCCCCGAGAAAATCGCCCCCACCGTCCACCGACCCAACCACCACCGTCCAGTTTGGTCCCCAACAAAACCCAAACCCCGAAACAAGGGCTGTTGCAGCAGAAACAGAGGGATCTGATTCTCCAGCATCACCGCGTCATTCATCAGGATGGAAGCGCAATCAGCCGCCGCTTCATCATCGTCGTCGTCACAAGAACCCCTGAGGAGCAGCTCGACCAAGAAGAGGGTATCGAGCGCCAGCGAAGACGCCAGAGTTGAATCGAGGACGGCGGAGGTCGTGGCGGCGCTGATGGACAAGCCACAACCGTCGCGTCCTCCTCCCCTCCACTGCTCGGCGCCAGACGAAAGAGAGAAGCTTGGAGGAAGGAAGGAAGGAGAGAGAAGAGATATGGTGGAGGAAGGAAGGAGAAAGGAGGAGAGGAAGGATTGAAGGAAGGACCGAAGGAGAGAGAAGAGGTGAAATGGTGGAGGAAGGAAGGAGAGAGAGAGGTCTGGTGGAGAAGGAAGGAGATAAGATTGAGATGAGTGGTGGATATTTTTTTGTTTTATTTAAATTTTTTTTTTTTTTTTTTGGAAAAGGTCATTTTTCGGTTGGCCGGCTAACCGACCCTAACACCGGAACCGACCGGTCGGTTGGCCGGCTGACCGTGACCTCTCTCACGGTCGGTGGTCGGACGCTATAAGTGGTGTTCGGTTTAACCGATAATCGGGTTTTCGGTTTTCGGTTAAACCGAAACCGACCGGCTGCCACCCCTAATTACACGGTCATTGTTGAAAGTCAGTTCGTGGTGGAGATTGGTTGCGCTGTTTAATTGCAATCCCGAAGTCGCCCAACATCACTCAGTCTTGCCGTTTGCCGCTTCGGTGATCCGTATCTGTTCTAGCTCTTCGTTCTGCCTCCAATCATGCCCAGGTTCACAGCACTCAGCATCCGTTGCGCCATATTTCCGTCAACAAGCCATGCATGTGTCTTGAGTCCCCTGGAGCAGTCTTTTCAGCATTGCGGATGGATCGTCTTCAAGGTTTCATCAAGATTTCACTTGATTTTGTCCTTACCAAAGTCCAGTCCACTCCTGGATGCTACTTAGTAATTCAATTTGGACATCAACATCAACTTCCATTACGTTAGGGAGCTTTACGTAGCGCACTGTTACATTTTGCTTCCCACAAGTTTTGTTACCAAGCTGTTCATTTACGGTTGGTGGGAGTCAATTGGGCCAACAGAATCACCTTGTCATTTGTGGCCAGTCAAGGTCACGTAGGAAGAAGAATCTTCACCAACATCACAGTCATGGCATTGAAGGCAATCATGACCAAAAGTGGTCATCTCTTCAAATTCTGTCAACAAAATTTCCAAGTTATCATGTCGAGGCATTCACGATCCATTAAATGCTCGTCCCCTGGCGTTCAAAAGGTAGTACGATCAAAGAGTAATCGTCCCTTCATCGTCCAGCTGGCATTCACGATCCAAGAAATGGTCGTCCCCTCTTCCGGTTCATTAGTGGGCACATATCAACCATTTATCGCTTTTCAAGCTGGGCATTCACGTTGTTCATGCTCCAGCTTGAGGGGGAGAATAGGAGGTCAACATACGTCGGTCGACTAACTCATTCATCAGGTAGACCGCGATGTACCAGGTGTGTTCAAGTTCAAGAGACGCAGTTAATCGTCTCCATCATCAGGTTGTTCAGAGAGAGTCCGTCGTCTCCAATCAACCTCGTCCGAGATGTTATTCATCTCGAGTTTTGTGGTTCAGCCATCATGCTTGTTCTTCACATTTACTTCTTCAAGCTCGACATTCTTGTCATTCATGTCTTCGCTTGAGGGGGAGTGTTGCGGTTACTTAAACCGTGTTAGTATTGGGCCTTGTTGGGCCTTGTCTGATTCGTTAGATTAGGGTTTTAACCCTAAGTTTATCTATATAAGCTTAGCTATCGACTTGTGTGATAGCAAGCCGTCAAGATGTAATCATAATAAGAAATCAGCCGTGAGCTCTTATGAGCTCACCGTGGATTAGTCTCGATCAATCAATCGATCGAGGATACCACGTAAAAATCGTTGTGTCGTATGTTGTTCCAATTCCGCATAATCAAATTCTTCACACCTCATTTTACTTTCCCCACCCGCCGCCCTGAAGCAAGCAACAGCAGCGGGGAAGAAAGCAGCCGTGCCGCCCGCAGCCGACTCCCGACCCTGTGTCGACCCCGACTTGATTCCCTAGCCCATCTCCCTCGTGTTCTTAGGTAAGGGTCGCGAATCCTTTCAGGATTCTCAACTCGAATCATTGGTAGGCTAATCCGAAACCCGTGTTTGTTTTACTATAACGTTGCGATAAGGTTTGAGGCAGTGGCGGATACATAGGCCTTTAGGGGTGTCCCGAGACACCCTTAAAATTTAGGGAAACGATTATCCAAGGATACCCTTAAATTTTGAAAAAACGATTATCCTGTTCTCGGTAGTAGTTTGTGTATGATTAAAAATATATAAGTAGTAATCTCTGTGTTATTCAAATCTAGGACACTACTGTTATTAAACATATTCTCTAGGTTGCAACTCATTTGTTGTTCTATTTTAAACACTATGTAATATTAAAAACACTATTCTTTATTACCAATTGTTTTCAAAACCTAACAATTAAATTCATTCGAGTTATCCTTAATTTGAATTGATTTTATAGGTATACTGCAAGAGTTGAAAGAGTCTTTAAAGTTTTGAGTTACAACAGGAACAAGGTTAAAAATCAAATATGCGATCAGTTCGTGAATTATTGTCTAATATGGTATATTTGCAATAGTCGAATATTTTTTATTTATGAATTATTTAATTAAATTTTTAATTAAATTTAATTTTGGAAGAAGACACCTCTATAAAAATTTCCTGAATCCGCCACTTGTTTGAGGGTTCGAACATCGATCGACAAGGAGATCAACGTCCCGGGTCATTCAATCTAGTCCTAGGCACGTTCTAGAGGTAAGGGAACTCGATCCCTTCGAGTTAGATCGATCGATTTGGTGATTTTTCGTGAGGGTGCAATTCCGGGTTTCTAGCAACAGACTTAACAAGCTTTTAGTGACAGATTTTGGGTGGTCACTAAAGCTCCAGGGAATTTCAAGAAACATGATTTATGTTGTTTCAATTGTTTTGAGCCTTTGCATGTGGTTTTTCCGTGGTTTAACAATTTTTTAAATTGAAGGAGGTATAGGAATGTCTGTGATTTAATTTGGGAATTGTTTAAATATGTATAACTATTTTTAGAAATTGGCCAAATGTTTAATTAAATAAAATTCTTGTCGAGGGGTTTTTAAGGTTTTGATTAATTAAACATGATATGGCTGGTTTAGTGACGTGGCGGGTCGGGTTTGACCATTTCCGGCCCAAAAAGGCGCTGACTAGGCGCTCACGTTAGCCACGTCAGCACATAACAGACTCTGTTAACGGAATTGGACGGCAACTAACGGCGAGTGACTAAATGTGTCCCGTTTTAGTAATTATAGTGACCAAATTTGATATTAACTTTTTCTAGTGACTAAACATGTTCCGATTTAGTAATTTCAGTGACCAAATGTGTCTTTTACCCTACAACGAAATCATAATATTCTTAGCTCTCTACTTGTTCCTTTATTGAGAATTTCGTGATTAAGTGAGCGAGCACAAGCTTATCTCGTATCTTCCCTCCTCTTCTTTTATGAGTATTAGTACTCACTTGAAATGTGAAGGAGAAAGATAAATTAAACCAAGAGTTTGGATATGTCGTTTGACAACTCTAAAATAGCTCATAGTTGTCTCAGTCAAAGGACTCCTTACAATTATCCTTTTGCTACCCAAAATAATAACCTAATCATAATACTCCCTCCTCAACAATAAATCGAATAATAATCCTTAAATAATAACAATTCTTAAATAATGGTGGTGGTCTTACACATTCCCAATGACAACGACATATGTGGCCACCATAAAGTATGCAGAGCACGTACCTTGCATCCCAAGCAAGGTCCTTGTGTTGATTTTGTCCTTCATGTCGGCAATGATGGTATTGATGCTCTTCTTCTCCACTTTGCTCCATGGCTGTGTGGAGGACTCTGTTCTCCAATGATCTTGCCATTGCCCTCACAAAGAAGAGACTTGTGAACAACAAGAAGACGCTAAAGAGTCTGGGGATGAGAAGGAATCGTCCACTTACAAAAATTGCAGGCTTCAGCTGCAGCTTATAGTACCATAGCAACTTAGCAATGTGATACTTTTTTGTTCTTTTTTGGTAAGCAATGGAAATATCCTTCCTTTCTATTACTTAAGCTGGTGAAGCTACATTGGAAACAAAAGATCATTGACCTTGATGACATTTAGAAAGAGAGCTACAAATGAGGGTTTTTCTGGGTTGCTACAAGTAAAGGCCAAAATATCCTATGATACTGAAGGGTGAGAAAGGCCTCAAACGACTGTACAACATCGGCCTTTTAACCAGTTATTCTTCTTTTCACGGAAAGGGTAAGATGTACAATGCTGGTGTGAGATGTGGAGCTTTCTTCTTCAGGAAGAAATTGATTGCTTCAGCTGACTCGATGATGGTTGTGCATTTTTGCAGAAAGCGGTGAGGGGGACAAAAAAGTCTTGAGCCATGTATTGTGAAGCTTGCGTTTCAAGGTATTCTTTTCGTCAGGCTTCAGCCACTCTCACCGGATGCCCAAATTCCTAGAACAATTTCAGAAGTTTAAGTGTAAGACATGAAATGCAGAAGACTGTATGGTGCAAAAACATGGAATATCCGTAGTTAACCTTTTTCCTGGCTGCATACCTCACGCCGTACTGGTTCCCAACCTCACTGTTGCATCCATTGCTTCCTGGGTGAATCTGCATTCCACTAAAGCCGGATTGCCTTCCTTTCGGTACGTGCAGCATCTGTAGATGGACAAAAGATTTAGTTTTATTGGCATAGATGAGGAAGACGCCGGTTATATATTTTAAGCTAGTTAAGCTTGAATATCATGATCTTCATAAAAAAAAAAAACTTGAATAATCATGATCATACAAATTTACCTTGCGGTCTGTCTGCAGAGGATTCAACTGATTCTCTTTTGAGCCCTAGCAAAGATGAACAATCATAAGACTAGGTAAGTCAAAGGAAATAACAGGGATAAAAGTAGTGTAGGCCTAAGGTGAAAAAATGTACACACCTTAAATAGAGAAACCACTTTAGCTGCAGGGTTTGGTCGAGTAAACTGGGACAGAGGTTCTAAGCTTAGCTGGATTTCGGATTTTAATGACAGCTGCAATTTCCAATCATCCAAAAAGAAAGATTCTTCAGATTTTTTGCTGCTATATACTCCAACATGAATTTCAGAAGGCTGCTTAAAATCTTTGCAAAGGGATACCTTGCTGAATAGGTCTATGGGAGGATTATGATGAGGTCTCTTGTCTGTATGGAGATTAAATTCCTGCGCAAGGTTGCGAACAAAACACCATCAGTGGAAAGTGAAGAACCGAAAACTAATGATCCATCATTTATGAGCATGAATGTACTAGTACTAACCATGGGCACTGTGGTTTGCCGCTTGCTGTTTCGAAAAACACCTATGTCTCCTTTGCTTGATAATATCTGCATTCAAACATGAAAAGGAGTTCATATGAATTTTCAGCAACAAGCTTTTTGAGGATGTGCTCTCAACCACTTCCTTGGTACCTTTTTATTGAGTGGGCGAGCTTTGAATACGTGTGATGTACTTTGTCCATCCTGCTTTGTAACATTGAGAGTACTGGGTCTGAGGAAAGATAAACAGCTTTTAAGAAAGCCCTCCTACAGCTCAATTGTTCAAAACATTGTTAAATAACCCCAGAATTTTCCCCTTCTTCGGATATCTTGTTACCTTCTGGATTCTCTCCTTCCCATTTCTGCAACAGAGATAGTAGCCTGCTTGTCCATACCCTGTCAAAAAAAGCTCAATTTGTCATGTGAAATAGTGGAGTAACTATACTACAGCCTGCAACTCAAAACAAACATTACTATTACTCTATTAGACTGTTTCAAATTCAATCATATTAATAACTTAAACGTGTTTACCTGATTAGAACTGCTGCACTGAAGTGAGGAAAATGAAACTGCAGAAGTATGCTGCTTGGCCCTTTCTGATGTCTTCAGGTGAAATTCCTGCAAGGGAACGAGTACGGATTATACTCAGGAAAACACATGAACAAAAAAGCATAGAAAGGAAAGATAGGATGATAAGTACATAACCCACTTGAAACTCAGGCAACCTTGGAGTGCTTTTCTTTGGGATGGGTAATGAAGGGGCCTCAAGAATCTGAAATTAGAAATTTATAATTGTCAAAATAAAATACATAAGGCTCCCTAAATGACATAGTCTGAAAGTTTAGGAACCAACTTTTCGGTTCAACGGGCGTGCTTTGAATCTTCGAACAGCAACTGTTGTATGCTCAATTTCTGATGTAATCATAGGCCTGCGTCAGAAAAAGCAATTAATTTCTGGACCATTTAAATCAAAACATGGTAACACCTTGAACTGGATATTAAAAGGAAAAACCTAGTTCTGTGTGCTCTATGTGCTGTCTCAAAGTCTGGCTCTCTTGGAATGGTTAACCTCAACTGCACAAGGAAAAAGCTATTGTTAGGCAACATTTGATGGTTAACTATTACTCAATGAAATCAAGAATGCTGCTTAGTTCCTCATAGGACAAACAAAAAGACTAAACTCGAATTGATGCTCACTCCACAAATAATCCAAGGATCATATAGTCATTATTCCTAAACCAACAGAGGAAAAATATCCTCCTTCGAAGGAATAATAAGAGCTAACATGGTTGTCAAGAAGTTGTCAATTTGCGCAAAGTAGAAGTCACTGTCAAAGTGCTCATTTTCCGGACAAGACTCTGTAAGGTCTTGAGGCAAATAGATAGAATACAGATAAAAGAAAAATTAAACTATATACCTTAGCAGGTGCTTTGTGGAGGAAATCAGTCTGTGGGTTTGCATCACCAACCTGCCACACCAAAGAAAGCAACTAAGTGACCATGAAAAGTTACACCCCTACAAAGGTCAAAAACTTAACGCTCAAGTTGAACAATGCAGGTGCAAGGAAATGGTAAACATTTACTATTACCATGCCAAACTGTAGATGGAGAGCAATGAACAAAAATATTGCTTCGGGAATCAAGTACCTTTTGCAGATGACCTCCCTCTAGCTTCTGCCGTTTGGCAGCCTGATTTTCAACCATGGATGAGTTATGTACGCTTTTTTCTTTCTGATCCAGAGCCATTTGAAACCTAATTCAGGGAATAATTAGTTGCAACAAGAATTTTCCATGATAATGCAGGCAATATAGACCATCTGATTATAACGGTTCTCAAATTTTCCGAAATACGATAAATTCTAAATGGAGTTAGACAATTTGATAACTGAGCTAGGCAGGGGTGGAAAGACAGATAAGATTAACTATGGTGGCACCAATCATTCAGATTGATACACTCTAAATCTCTTGAAGATGTGACTCAAGAGGTTCACAAAACACTTTTCAAGACCACAAACATTCACGATGTGGAGCCTAGTATCTAATTCATCAATGAGCAATGCAGTCCAATATAAATCTTAACTCAGACAATAGAGCTCATTGCAATTTTTATCAACCAATAGTAGAGCAATACAGCTTTATCAGTTTCAGACAAATGGGATAATAAAGATCACCTGGAACTACCAGAATGAGGCACTCGTGTTTGCTTAGCCAACAGGCTAGCTGTGGGTCTCATCAAGGTTGAGCAACCTCGAGATTTAGGCTTCAACAGGTTAGCCTTGGCATTGAATTTATCACTCGACTGATGATTGTAAATTATGAAACCTGCTGTGACCATACCAAAGATTATCAGAGTTGCGAACATAATCATGTCAAATCATGAAAGCTGCAAAAAGCCACTCTCCCAATAGTGATTTTACTTGGGCCAGAATGAGCCCCATAGGTAAGGATACCCATCTTTCCAAGTTCAGTTCTTCATGAAAAGGGAGAGAGAGCAATATGCCCTGCCCTGACCACGGGTACAATGAAAAAGTGATGGTCATTTGAAGCATCCAACATGAACACCCAGTTGAAATAGGACACTGATTGTTGCTAGTTATGGCTTTGGAGTAGGAATTTTTCGAATGATCAATGCTGAGAGTGAAACTTTATACTTGATTCAAACTGATACTTAGCAAATGATTCAAGCCCAGGTTCCGTATTAAGCACAGAAACATCTGAAGCTCAACTTCTGTACCCACTAGAAAACTCAGGTCTCATTTCTAGGCATGTTAAAGCACCACACTAGACTGGTTCATAACGATCCCCACCCTGCATTTCCTTATAAAGGAACACCAGTCTTCCATGTCTCTGCACAGAGAAACCTCGGATATGTCCATTACAAGACCTAGAAATCCATGCCTAAAGAAAGCTGCAACCGACATTTTCTACTTAGTCCATCAAACAACAAAAGGTGGCTGGACTAACCTATCCAGATGAACTAATTCCTACTGTCCCAAATCCCGGTCCAAGGCTAAGGGGGGCCACTGAATAAACAATCAAAGAACCATTATTAGGTTTGTTTACCTTTATGGTCATCCCCCACCGCTGCACTTTCCGGGCCCAGAACACCACCGTCTTCATCATTGGGCAAGGTGGTCACATATCCATCACCTTTAGGTTTCGGAGATGTATTAATGTTCTGCAACATGATTTCCTCTCCCAGCACGAACTTTGCCACAAATGCTGAAACAGAGATGGAAGAAAGAATCCCGGGGGGAAAAAAACTCAGTAAGGCAGTAAAAAAGGGCAGAATCACGGACGATTCAGAACCTAACTCAAAGATAGCAGAGCGCAATGCTTTGCAAAAAGAAGAAAAAGGGATTAACAGCTCCAAAGGCGAGAACAAAGTCAAAATTTTCAACTGAATCAAACAGGGAGGGGAAAGGGGTGCATTTTTTTTCCACAGCCAAATAAAATGCAGCTTGAGAAACACAAAACTCACGAGACGGCGGGTAACTCGGAGCCGCGCCGAACCACCGCTCGGCCAATAGCGCCTCCGCGAAGGTCTCCTCCCGGCTGAAATCGAAGAACATCGGCGCATCGAACTCGTAGTCAGGATCCACTTCGCGTGCCTCGTAGTAAAACAACTCCACCTCCATTACCCAGCTCGACTCACTCACTCCACTGCACTCACTTCAAACTCCTGAAACCACACACCAATAAGAAGCCACCAGATCACTGACCACTCTCGCTCTCTTGTCCAGCGAGCTGAAAACCCTAAGAAATTACTTGGGTTGAGAAATAAGGTGAGTTCCGCTCAGCTGGAGAACAGTAGTTCCCGCTCTCTCTTCACTGTAACAACAATCCAAATCCAAAACAGGCAAGCTAATAAATGGATAATCCCTCCACCAGAAAGAAAAACAAAATTGAATCAAATCATTTATTGGTTCATTACATTCCAAAAAAAAAACATTAATATACGCAGATGGTCATCTTCTTCTCCCTTCTTCCTCCTTCCCTCCCGTCGTACAGCGTCTCAGTTTGTATTTTGTAACTATCTGAAATTTGAATTTTCAGAAGAAACCAATTACAAAAAAGGGAGGGGGAAATTAATTAAATTTTCCCGTTCCAGACGAAAATGCCACTGATGATGATTATCAATTATGGCGAAGTGGCTGAGGGGTTTGTTTTGTTGTGAAGCGAGGACGGAGGACAAAATGGACAAAGCAGGGAGCGCTGTTTTTGGAGTTTTTTGGGGGATTTTGTCCATGTGTATTATCAGAAGGAGAGAGTCATCGGGGTCCGGGACTCCGGGTTGGTTCATGGGGCGGCGACAAACTATCCGTGGAGTTTCTGAAATCTCGGCGGGGTTAGAGATTTTGCCCCGGGTCGGGGTGTGAAACGTTGCAGTACGCACCAGATCAGATCATAAATAGTGTCTATGATCCATACTGAGAGGTTGGAACATAGATCATGGACCAAATCAATATATTATACGGTTTATATCAGATCACGCCTGTGCAGTGTGGTTCGGTCTGGATCAGGCAGATCATATTACAAAAAAAATCACTTTTATTCTGTCCTCCACCCCTTCGTTGGTATTTATAAAGATAAAAATTTCAGTAACCAATATGCTAGTGAAACAAAAATTTAGTGATCGTAATTAAAATGAGAATAAATATATGAGAGAAGTGGGGTTTTTCAATATTCAAACTTTCTCTAGTCTCCACCGCTCTATCCAGTATCCATTAAAAAACACAGATCAAATAGCGTTGTTTCCCTCTTCCTCTTTGTGCTATCGCTTCTCTCCCTCTCTCAGGTGATTTGGAAGGTTCTCGTGGTCGATCACCTTCGTGATGACGTCGAGGTCGTTTTGAACTACTAAGATGGTCACTTATCTCACAATAAATTTCCATATCTCATCAATGAGAATAAATTTTTGGGCAATGTCTATTTTTTACCCAAACCTTTTTCAGATTCTTTTATTTTAACCAAACCTATAGAAATTCTATTTATTATCCAAACGTATTATAATTTATCAAAGTCTGGGCATTCATTCTGTTACCGTTACTTATTTTGTCCACGTGAGAGGTGGGATTTTGTTGTTTTTTGATAATCTTTTTATTAAAAATAGTAAATGATGGTATTCTGACCGCCACATAGGAAGTCAACTCATTATGGTCATACTTAGTCAGCATTACTAACAGAAAAGTTGACGGAGAGTTAACGTTTGGATAATTTTTAGGAATTCAATAGGTTTGGTTAAAATAAAAGAATCTGAAAAAGGTTTGGGTAAAAAATAGACATTGCCCTAAATTTTTTCTAGTGTTTATCTTTTATCGACTCCGTAGTCTAGACATTATCGGTGAATATATTGTATGAATCTTTTTGGTTTTTGTGTGGTTCTTTGAGAATGAGATAACGCATAAGCAATCATTTTTGCAATTTGTTGGCTCTCAACTGGATGAAGAATCAACTAACTTTGTTCTTCAAAAAGAAATGGAGGTTTACTATAGTGTTATTTTGGTCTAAATTAGTAGGTAGTTTATCACGATCTGTTACGGTTTACTGCAGTAGACCGCGGTCCAAACCGCTTCAGACTACAAGTTAAAGGAGGAGACCACAAACCATACCATACCATAGTTCAGGTCTCACGATCCAGACCAAACCATACGATACGGTTTAGAAAGCAGTTTCCCATACGATGTGGTCTAGATTCTCAGCCCTAGCCCTGGGTGTGGGAGGATATTCCGAGAAGTGCCTCTACCACCATCGGCTTTGTTTCTAGTTTTGTTAGGTAATGAAATGCCAAATGCATGCCTTGTCGATAAGGTTGTTAATGAGCCAAACTATTCGCGAACAGCTCGGTATCGAACTCGATAAAAGGTTGTTCGATTCAACAAAAGCTCGATTCTTTTATTAACAAGCGAAGCTGGAGCTCAACCTTTTCGGCTCGTGAGGCTCGTGAACTAGTTAAATTAGGTGGCTTGTTGAGTTCGATTCATGAACTAACTCATTTTGAGGTCATGAAAAGCCTCAACATTGTAACTAGCGAGCCAACTTGATTTCCTTTATGAGAAAACGGATCTATATTTTATGAGTTGGTTTGTTAATAATGCATATATATTAAATTGTATATCACACTTCATATGATGTTTAATAATCTGAGTATGTGAGCAAATGTCTCGTATATGACATGAAGATAGTTAATCACATGTATCATATATGACATATAAATATTAGGGTATTTAATTCATAAATTATCTTAGAGTTGACTCGAGCCAAAATTTTGATCTTAATGATGAGCCAAGATTAAATAAATGAGTTGCCTGGTGTTCAACTCGACTCAGCTTGTTCATAAACGAGCCAAGTTTGAGTTCAGCTCGTTTATGAATGAACCAAACCTGAACAAGGCAAAACTCGGTTCGGCGCGGCTCATTAACAACCCTACTTGTGGGCGACGGAGAAGATGGCGTAACAGACAGCTCGGTGCTGATAAACGACACTTAAAGCATATTTCAAATAAGGGAGGGAGAATAATAAGGGATTGTGACAAGGGTAATAATGTCATTAAGGCATGCTCTCAGGTCAGGGGGTTCTCGATTGTACCTGGGCGTTGGGCCGGTAGGGCATACTTTGGAATAAATGGGCTCGTTTATCTTGTTTCGTGCTTGGCACGGCATGTTAATTTTTGTGTCGTGTTGTGCCCGTCCATTATACAAAGTTGTTAGACTTGATCTGCTCTGGAGATGATTTGAATCTTATCGTACATATTCGTGTTCGTGTTGGTGCGGCGGTCCTTGATTATGAAATAAGAATAAAAAAATTCAATGGAAATAGGATTAGACCGAGTAAGAGAACTCACCGAAACTCCGAAAGGAGATTATAAGGGGCATCTTTCACACGCAATATATTATTCAAAGAATGATAATAATTAGGAATGGAATCTTGAGATGAGCCAGTGTGAGAGATTGGAAGTGTTTTACCATTGCCAAAGCTGACGCTATCAGTGCCATTGTATTCGGAATGATGAGCCAAATTGTCAAGAGCTGAAGTCAAGTGATGGTTGGCCCCAGAGTCCATGAGCCATTGCTGGGAAGATTGGGCTGGATGGGAGGTTTGGGCTAGGTGGGAAGATGGGCCGGAAGTATAAGAGGAATGGGCTGGATATAAAGGGCTTGGACAGTTGGGCCGGATATGGCCTCTTCCTCCACAGTTATGGCCAATTGTCTTTGATGGACCAGAAGGCCCAGCTCCAAGTACATCTGCATTCATGGGCTGATAAGAATTAAACTGTTGGTTAGAATATGAGTTGGGCCAGGATTGGGGGTTGGGCCTAGAAGGGTTTTGATGGCCATAAGCTCCACGACCACCAATATCATTTCGGCTGCCCCTGCCTCTTGAAGTCCTGCCGCCCCTGCCGCGATAACCACCACCAAAGTAGAACGCCTGCGGTGAAGCCAGGTCACCAGCAACGACTGATAGCGCTTAAGTTGCATTTCTTCGCTCAGGAGAAGACTGCTGAGATTATCAAACGAAATAGGCTCAAGTTTGGCCTCCAGATTCCGGGTGAAGGGACGTTAAACCTCACCAAGACCGTTCATGATAGCGCCAACATGCTCGGACTCTTTGACAGGGTCGCCGAGAGCCGCAAGCTTGTCGGAGATTTCATTCGCACGCTGAAGAAATTCATGAGCAGATTCGGAGCCACGGGTCAAATGATTGAGAGAGCCATGGAGCTGACGTATAATCATCAGCGAAGCAGATCCATTGACTTGGGCGAGAGATTCCCAGGCATCACGAGCAGTGGATTGGTTGGGGATATTGGGCATCACTGCTTCAGATAAAGAAAATGTTATCCAAATAAGAACCAGCTGATCTATTTCGTACCACTCAACATAAGCTGGATTCAGTTGAGAATCGATGGTTGCCGACGGAGGCAGCACTGTGCCATCAATGTGACCAATCAGCCTGTGGCAGCGGAGAAGGGACAGAAGTTGAGTCTTCCATAAGAGGTAATTTGTTGGTGTCAGCTTCACGATCAATTGAGGATTGGACGGGAGGAACAGAGGAATAGCAATGGAGGAGGAGACAGAAGTAGTAGAAGAAGAAGAGTGTGAGGAAACTATCAACATTGTGCTAGGAAGAAGTAGAAGAAAAAGGAAGAGAATATAGCAGAGAAGAGAAAATAGAACTCGTTAGAGTCTAACCAGGCTCTGATACCATGAAGTGAAGCCAAAAATCCCATCTGATGTATTATTGATGAAAGGAATTTATACAGGGTACTGGATACAATAGGTAAACAGAAAGAGCTATTCCTAAGCAACTAACTACTGAATATCAGCAACTAAATACAAGTAGTGGAGAAACCGTCAACACTAATTATAAGAGATATTTATCTCTATCAATAACTAGGGGAAGAGGAAAATTGGAAATATAGCATGTGTGATTTGGCCTCTTTGTATTTAATTCCTCGGTAATTTTATTTATGCTAATAATTATATATAATATCTTTATGATCAGTTCTAACAATAATAAATAATTATTTTTGTAGTCTTATTTTGTAAATATTTGAACTTATAATTTCTTATATTCATTTTCTATACAAGATGTGTTTTTTTATGTCTTGTCGTGCTTATACTCGATAGGATTTCAAAAACATTAGGTCCAACACGGCCCACTTATACACCGTGTCCTGCCTGTGACCGTGCCCATGAAGTTTAGACCCGACACGACCTATAAATTATTCGTGTTCGTGCTAGACTGGCTCATATTCATGTATGTACTCGTGTCGTTGCTCTAACAGTATTGTATCGTGGTAGCATGTGAGTGGCATTGCTTAATGCTCAGGTACATTCACTACAATAGAACCTACCTATAAAGGCTAAGCAAATTTGCCACT